ACTGCTAAGAAGGCTAAGCTGGCCAAAGTAAGCCTTGCTTTCTCTCCCAGGCTCCTGAGTCTGATGCCTGCTTCCCTATCTGAAGAGCAACAAACAGCTAAGCTGTGACAGCCTCTGAGGAGCTGGACAGGGTATGGAATGGGCTGGGGTGGGTGGGATGGAGAAGGGAAAGAGAAAGATAAGGAAAGCCAAAGTTGGCAGCTGCCTTGAAATCCTGGATAGGGGGGCCTCTAAGCAGGTAAAGCATCAGGAGCTTAGGTTTGCCAGTAGAGCAGCTAGGACAGTTTTCTGTCAGGGAGGGTCCCTGGGTCCAGGATAGCAGCAGATTTGCCAGGGGCAGACAAAGCAGCTAAATGAGGCCTCCTCCCCCTCAGGTGTGCTGCCTGCAGGATAAAGAAAGTGATCAGCTAGGGACACTGACAATGGGTGGATGATGGCTAGGTACTGCTCTGGTGGGCAATGCATCCTGGCCTGGAGGCTCAATTGGCTTGGAGTGAGGAAGAGAATGCCATGTAGTGCCATGGGTAGTGCCATGTAGCTGGAGTAGCAATGGTCTGAGTCAGAAGATCTGGGATCCCTCCCTAATCTGGCTCTATTGTTAACTAGCTATGAGGCTTCTCCTCCATTATTAACTAACTGGATTTCTCACTTGTATAGCGAGCTAATCCCTGCCTTACCTACAAAGAAATACTCCTTCCAAAAGGCACAGACTGGATATCAAAGTCAGATGGCCATTATATGCAGTATTTTGGGGTCAAGAGCAATGCAGTGTGGCCTCTGGCTATGGGAGGGCTAGAGCAGGCGTGATCGAGCCATGCTTCCAGGGCTTCCCTGGGCATCTTCCTCACTGGGTCTTTCACTATATTGAGACCTGCCTTGCCCTCCACACTGCAATGGGGAGGTAGCCAGGTTCCTGCTAACTCCTGCTCTAACTCCTGCTCTAGGTGTGTGGACCTCAGGGACTGGCGAGCACCCGGCACCCTGCCTCTTCCCACCTTAGCAAGGCTTAGTCACTGAATCCAGCGTCGAGAAACAGTCTAGTCCCAGTTCTGCCATTTACCAGCTGACAAACCTTGGGTACTCTTCTTCGGTGTGCTCATCTACAGAGTGGGGATAACCACCCCTCTTGGGCGAAAGTGAGAGTTCACCATTGGTTAGAGTTCACTCCTGCCCACAGGGGATGACACTCATTATCACAGCCAGAGATGGAAAGCAGAAAATGAAAAGAAAGGACTACTAGCTACTCCAGTCTTTAAGAGGAAGAAAAACATTCATTTAGTACCTACTGTGTGCCAGGCTTTTTTCAAACATTAGTTTATTTAAGTCTCACAACAACCCTGCAAAGTGAGTAAAATCATAACCATTTCACAGTGAGAAACTGAGACTCAGAAAAGTGAAGAAACACGTCCAAGGTCACACAGATAGCCGGACTCCGAGCTTGTGAGGAGGGAGCACAGCACGCCTTCTTTCCCCCATCTCAGTGTAAACTGAATGGGTGGCTGGACCAGAGCCAGGACTCACTGGACCAATGGAGGTCTTATTTCAAACCCAGATGCTGGGAGGACAAAACATCATGCAGGCCCCACCGCCTTATCTATTTCCCACAGCTTAGGATTTCCTAGCAGGCGGACACACAGGCACCTTCCCAGGGCAGCAGCTGGTGTGCTGGCCCCCTCCTTCACCAAGTCAAGTCTTGTCTGAGGCCCTAGAACACCTAAAGGGCCATCAAACCGGATTTTCCTTTGAAGCTGGAGGAAGAGAAGGAGGAGAGAAAATGGAGGGCCTGTAGTCCCGAGTCACAGACCAGGGCCCCACATGCGCAGCTGCCTCCTTCCAGATGGGCTCCCCAGCGACCACTCCACTGCCAGCTCCATGCTCTCCTGGGAACTGGAATAGCTCAAAAAAAGAGGATGCTCTGAGCTTATAAACTGGAGAAGATAGTGAGAAGGCAGGGAGGCAGGCTCTGGCCTGCCAGGAGGGCCCTGGCCCCACCCCAACAAAAACTGGCACAGACCAAACTATAGGAATGCCAATTAAGGCAATTCTACGATTTCCAAAGTCATAGGGCTGCCAAGGTTGGCTAGGAGTAGTGGAGGGCCCAGGGGACAGGGGAACTGAATCAAGAGAAGACAGTATTGCTGTTCCAGATGTTTCTCCCTGGGCCCAGCTCAGATCCCTCTCTCCCCTAACAGGAAGCCAACACCCACGGGATCCCAGAGAGCATAGCTCCTCATCTCATCTGGCCTGCAGCACTGAGCAGACTGAAGGGTGGATGGGAAGCTCCAGCCTTAGGAGGTCAGTCCTGGCAATCGCACGGGAAAAGGAAAGGGAGGTCAGGGACTCACCTCTCAGGCCATCTCCCTCAGGCAAGGAGACCCGGTATCCAACTGATAGCCTTCTTTCCCTTCCTGATCACCTCCTCTATGCTGCAGAAGGGACCCCTGCCCGCTCCCCTGCCCTGCCAGCCCCAAACAGGTCTGCTCTTTTTACCCTAAAGTATTAGGAACAGTAATATCACTCCTCCCACCCTTCCCTGCTGAGAACACTTCTTTCTTCTCCTCTGGTCCTTCCTGGGCTTCAACAACCAGCTCAGTCCCCAGCCAAGCCACAAGAATTAATGCTGCCAGCATCCCTGTCTGTGCTCACGCTACTGCAGGACCCTTCGCTGACTGGCTGCTTTCTTGCCTCTCCTCACTTACTGGCTACTGCTTAAGAGTGGGCAGGGACCATCTCGGGCCCACCAAAGGTTCCCTGAAGAGTAGGCTCAAAAGACAAACTGAAGAAGTGGAAAGGGCCTAGGACCGGGAATCAGGAGTTCTGGATTCACTTCCTGGCTTTGCTCCTAATAGACTGAAGAGGTAAGGCTAAAAATTTCTCTCAGGCCTCAGTTTACCTATCTGTATGATGATGACCATCTCTAAGGTCACTTTCAGCTTTCTGACTTGAAATATCTGTCAGTAAAACTCATTCAGTAAATAAATATTAACTGTGCGTTTACTTCTCTGCAGGCCTGAGGGGAAAAGGTGAATAAGCCTGGTCCCAGCCCTGAAGCTGATCAGTCTAATGGACTGGTAATGACAACACACTCTTAACCTTGCTAGGTTATCCCTGTTAGCTTCCTACATTGCTGAGGGAGTCAAAGGTGCTGAGTTAAGCCAGAGAGAGTGAGGATAGGAAGGTTCTGCTAGGAAACTTCTGTTCTACCTCTCTGGCGCCTGACTTTCTGCTGGGGCCATAGGCCATACTAACGGATAGTGAAGACAGTGGAAACTGTCCTGACTAGGAGTCAGAAATCCTGGGTTCAAGTCCTGGTTCTGCCAATAATATGTTGTGTGATCTTAAGCAGGTTATTCTCCCCTCTGGGCCTTAGTTTCCTCATCTGTATAAGTAAGGGCTAAACTGGTCAATTTCTTAAGATCTTTTCCAGCTCAAACAGTCTATGATTTTATGATCTACTCATGCCAGGCACCGAATAGTCATCTGAGCGGCTCGCCTCTGATCTGCTTTCTTCCCCATCCCCCCAGACCCCAGCAACTGCCAAAACTGACCATCTTGAGACAACCTTTGGCCCAGGGTGGCTGAAATGGACCTTTAATCTGGAGCCAGAGTCCCTGTGATCTCCACTGCAGCCATCAGTGCTAATGTTTCACTTCTCTGGAATAGCACATGGACTCCTAGCCCTCAACCACAAGACTGAGTTCAGGGCGGTCACCCTGAAACGTCCCATAACTTCCTCTCTTATAGCCTTGAGCAGAGACTTACTTTCGGCTTTTTTTGGAACCACAATATAAACTCATCAGGGATCATTCAGGCTTTCAGACACCAAAGATTTTAGGTTGACCAACGGAGTCAAGAAAGTGAGGCAGGGAGAGAAGACAGGACCTGGGATCCCACCTCAGCCCCAGCCCTACAGACACCAGTGATGCAGAGGGCATCTGCAAAGCCTGGGTCTGCGGTTGGAGGGTGGGGAAGACAGATGTCTGGCCGTCTGGTTGGGGACTACAGCCAAAGGGAGTTGCTCCCACTGAGGCCTCTCTCTGTCCACAAATACCAGAGGTATGCCCTCATTTTTCTCCTCAATTCTCAGACCCTTAGAAGGAAAAGAAAGGAAACTGATATTTTCTGGGCACTACTTGTGCCAGGCACTGTGCTAGGCACCTTTGCATAGCTGATCTCATTTAATCCCCGCAGTAATCCTGGAAGTAGAGTTACAGTTGCCCTTTTCAGTGAGTAAACAGGCTCAGAGATTCAGGATCTTGCCCAAGGTCTCACATCCAGCAAGTGTGATTTTTTCCTAAGTCTCGCTTCTTACCACTATATCACACTACTCTATACCCTGAGTTCTGGTTAACTAGCTGATAAGTATGTACCACAAATTCTTATCTCCTAGAACTCACCAGCAAATCTGGGCTCTTCCTTCCAAACACCCATGAATGCAACTGGCAACTTTTTCCCTCTTCTCAAGAACCCTTCCTTCCCAGGGCCCTGATTCCTGGTGACTGCTCTTCAATTCAAAAATATACCCTAAATCCCCTTTGGGTTCTGACAAGCTAATGCCTGGGGAACTGTGACAAAGCATCAAGTCAGGGTGCGGGATCAGAATACAGGGTACTCTCTGAGTTCTGGACTGGATAGGCTTAGCCTGCGCCTGCTGTGAGCAAGTGGGGAGAGGCTGGAGGAGACAGATCCAGTGGGTAGGAGAGAACTCTCCTTCGGGGAAGGGCCTACATTTCTCTAAAGGAGAAGGAGGCCTGGAGAAAATGAGGCTTTGGGACTGGGGAAATCCCACAAGTGACCTTTATGGGGTTCCTTGTGTGGGGTGGGGTTCTTACAGATGGTCGACTCAATTCCATAAGTCATAAGAGAGGCTGGAGGAGCCCTGGGCAGTCACAACAGGTCAGAGAAGGGGAGGGAGGACCCTCTGGAGCAGGGGCATGGCTGAGTCCTGTGGGCCCCCACAAGGGACAGTGCGGGCAGTCTCTGCTGAAGGGGAGGCACACCGTGAGGGAGGCTTGTCAGTCCTGTGCAGAGCGCTGGTCTCGTGTGACAGGACAGCCGGGATGGGAGTGGGGTTGGGGTCCATCTCTCCTAGGGGGACCGCCGGCCCACCCAGACGATCTCTGTGGTCCTGTGGGTCAGAGTGCAGCTGCCCCATGTGCCCAGCCCGGAGGGAAGGCCTGCTCCCCTGCCTCCCCCTTCTCTGCCTGCCAGCTGTGCCTGGGGCCCTGCGGGTGGGGCGCCGGGTGAGCCACCGGCAGGGACCTGCTGCCTCCCTGCCCGCCCCTGGCTGTGTTTTGGGGGAGGGGCGCGTTTCCACAGCACACGCAAAGCGAGCGGAGGGACTGTCCTGTGAGGGGGGCACTGTCACCCTGTGGGCACTGGGAAGGGGCGTGTCTGCCCACCTGTTGCCACTGACAGGAGGAATCTGCTTCTGAGGGGGCAGGGAGCACTCTCTGACCCTTCCTTGTGGGGACGGGACTGTCTGTCCGGGGCGGGGGCCTGTCAGTCCATCGGGAGGTCTGTGTGCCTTGAGGTAAGGCCTGAGTGTCCTGACGCGGGGTGGGGTGGGGTGGGGCGGGGCAGTCATCCCTCGAAGTCTGCCGAGGTGTCCCCTGGCGTGGGTGGTGGGGCGGAGAGCCCAGGGGCCTGTGGGCGCGCGGGGCGCGGGGGATGGAGAATGCCCGGGGGGAGGGGCGGCCGTCTGCGAGCCCGTGTCTGCGGGGGCACAGCCAATCAGCCCGAAGGCCGCGGGGGCAGCAGGAGGGTTGGGACAGGTGTCTGTCGTTCTGTCCCGCAGCTGGGAAGGACACTGCCGGCCCTTCCTGGGGGCAGGTCCGTCTGCCTGCGGGGCGGGGGCCGGGGAAAGGCACCCACCCTCCTGTCTGTCTGTCCCGGCCTGTCTGTCCCCATGTCGGAAGTAGGCTCGCGGGCGAGGGGCGGGTCGGTCTGCGGGAGGGGAAGG